GCTTGTCTTCTTAGTCCAAGCTCACAGGCCTTTGCCATAAATGTGGTTAGTTGAGATAGGTTAACATGCGTCTCTGCTTTCTGTCAAAATAAAGCTTTATTCAAATAGCTAAGAGTTAATATTTCACGAATATATGAATAAACATATTCAGCATAGGGAACACCTCTATGAGAGATTCCCTACATCCCAAATCGCATACTGTCTGTGATTTAGTAGATAAGTGCAAGGGAATCATCTTAGACACCTACAGGTTAAGTGGCTTACCTAGGGTCACACTGCTGCCAAGTGACTGAATTGGGATTTGAATTTAGGTCTCTGTGATTCCAGTCCCACTCCGCTATCCACTAATCTGCTTAAGTCTGACAGTTTATATTACGTGGTAAAGTAGGTTATTTTGTAAAGTGTGTTTTAAGAGAGGCAAACACTTTGGTACCTTTTAAACTAATACATAAATGTTAGTGATAACCGTTAAACCTGTCTCAACTCAAAGGTTATCCCTTAGAAGATAGCACTTTTGGGGAGGTTTGTACTTTAACTTCTTGTTTCAGATCAGGCAGCATTAAAAAAAAAAGTCCTAGCTTTTCACAGCTATTAATGTCTCCTTTCTCATCAGCCTCTTTGCCAGCTATCACAAAGAGAGTTATCATAGAAATCAAAGATATGGCATCTCTTTTCCTTTTCTTATTCCTGGATCTCCTAGTTTGTTTTTTTTTCTTCTTGTTTAGAAGAAACTTACAGTGTTTGTGAGTCTGAACTTACAGAATTCATGAGCACATGAAAAACCTGTGGCTAATTTTCGTAAACATCACTTTCTTCTTTAATGTACTCTACACTTTCCCAAAATTTCCTTGTTTACCAAATTGGGCAGGTTGGCCTGGATGATCCTTAAGGTCCCCCCTTCCAGTATTAGTCTTTTAGGTTATAAGAAATGGTTTATAAATCTGTAAGGAAACTTAGAGTTCAATCTAGTTCAGTTCACGTATTTTGTAATTGAAGAAACTTAGGCACAGAGAGATGATTTGCCCAAAGGTGACACACAAATAACAGAACTTGGATTTGAATTAGGTCTTGTTATTGTTGGGTGTAGATACTTCTTAAAATTTATATGTAGTGACTCCCTGGTTATGTGCAACTTTTTATAAACTAACTTGTGATTTGAACTGCCTGATTTTATGGTGCTTCCAATTATAAATCAGACTAGTCTTCACAAAACAACACACTTAAATAACATTTTTGATTAGAGATTCAAAATGGTTTCACCTAGGGTCTGGAGAAAACTAGGTAGTACTTTCCCTGATTTGTACTCACATGAAATTTATAATTTAATTAAAACCTAATGAATGCTAGAAAGAAGAAAAAGATACATATATACAGAAATATCTATAGCAGCTCTTTTCATGTTGGCCAAAAATTGGATACCAAGGGCCATAGTGGGTAATAGGTAAACAAACTGTAGTATGTGAATGGAATGTTACTGTACCATAAAAATGATGAAATGGACAGTTTCAGAGGAAACTGGGAAGATTCTATCAACTGATGTAGAGCACAGTGAACAGAACTTAGTAGACCAATATATGCAGTAATCACAATATGATAGAGAAAAACAACTTTGACAGACTTATCCACACAGTGATGAGCTGCAAGTTCAAAGAAATGAAGATGAAGCACACTACTCACCTCCTGACCCAACGGGTTGTACTTAAAATGCAGAAAGAGATGTACGGTTTCAGGCATGGCTACTGTGGGAATTGGTTTTGCTAGTCTATGTATCTAACTGTATATTGAGAGCTTTATTTGTTGGTGGGGGTGGATAAGGAAGACAAATTAATTTTTTTTAGGGCAGTTGGAGTTAAGTGACTTGCCCAGGGTCACACAGCTAGTTTAAGTGTCAAGTGTTTGGTCTGAGGTCACATTTAAACTCAGGTCCTCCTGACTTCAGGGCTGGTGCTCTATCCACCTAACTGCCCCTGACAAATTAATTTTTTAAACAAATGAAAAGACTTTTAAAAAAGGATTTAATGCATGTGCATACTAAACATTTGTTAAACCAGCCCACAGTTTTTGCTCTCTCATATCTATTTTATAAGTGTGTTTTTTTCTTTAGTACTGGCTTAAGTCTTTTTTACAGGCAAAGTAAGTGACAATATTAAGAGAGATAGTACATAGCACATAACATGGAGGAACCAGTGGTTGATTGACTTAAGAATTGTAAAAAGAACAGTAATGATTCTGGCATAGCAGTATTTTGGCTATATTTATAAAGGATTTGAACGCCAGGAAAGGAAATTAACCTGTCAGGTCATTTGGTTTATATTTCTGCTATGAAGTTTTCTATCAGGTGTCTTTTTTATTTGCAATTGGTCTTTGCGAATAAAAGTTAATATTTTTTAGGTTTTATAAGGTATACTTTAAAATATTAAATGACTTTTACTTGAATTTAGCATAACCCAGATGACTTCAATCTAAATATTTCCTTCCTTAAATTTTATTGACATGTCTAAATTTCCTTAAGGGCTTTTTTCTATTCTTTTTTTAAACATTTTGTGCATATATATATATGGATGGTTTTATTTTGGTTTGTCTTTTATCCCTATATTTTAGTGTATTTGTTATCTTAGGGTGGATGCCCTATTTACTTGTACAGATCACAGTCTTTCTAGGCCTTCTTTTCTGGTATAATTCTTACTCAGATCATCCTATAAATCAACTTAATTCAGTAAGCATTCATTAAGTACCTACTGTGTTTTTTGGCACTTCTCAACACTGGAAGTACAAAGACAAAAATGAAACAATCCCTACCCAAAGGAGCTATTTGAGAAGCCTTTACCAGGTCTTAACCTGCTGATGCTGTTTTAGACCAATATTCCAGTATTATAGTTCAGCCAATAATCATGTATTTTTCCCATACTTTGAATATTACCATTACTTACATAGTAATTTTAATAAGTCTTAACAAGCCCAAACATAATGATAACAAGATTTTGAATGCTATACATAGAACTTTGAGATAAGATGGCTGTGTTTCTACATGAAACTTAAAAAATCCTGAGAAAATATGTTCATTTCCCCCAAATGTTTCTTATAGTCATAATAGCTAACATTTACATAGAGCTCTAAGGTTTGTGAAGCATTTTATATATGTTAACTCACTGTAATGGACCTTGGACAATCATGGCCTTTCTGAAATGGGAATTATTTAAGAGTATTTTTAACTTTTGCTATTTCAGTACCTGAAGTTTGAGAAATTAAAACTGACAATTTGTAGCCAGTACTTTAACCTAGATACAATGGGTTAGTGGTATGTTAGACTTTCTGGAATTCTGGCTATTAATGTTAGGTATCTTCAGACCTTGGATAAGATGTCATGTTGGCTTTATCTTTTTGTATCTTCTTTTTTTTTTTTTACATAATTCTAGATGTGAGAAAGGGGACTTAAGTTGAACATAGTTCAACTCCCTCATTTTACAGGTGAAGAAACTGAAGCCCAGGAAGTTTAAGCATCTTGCTGGCAGTCACGTAGATAGTAAATGTCAGGTGGAGTTTGAACCCAAGTTGTCTGATTCCAGAATTTGTGTTTTCAGTCAGTTTTTATTTTGGATGTTCCATAAAGGGGATTGAAAGGAAAGGTAAAATTATATAACATGTGAATCAGTGCTGACATGACATTCTGTATCATCCTATTACTGTACTTGGCAGTACTTTATCTCAAGATTTGAGTACTTTGCAGTGATGAGAACTAATATTTTCCTAATTTGTCTCTTTTTATAAGTGAGTTATGTAGGTCATGACAAGAAAAGCAGTAAAAACTAGGAATCTTCAATTTTTTTCCTAAACTCATTATGTTAAAAGATGCTCTTGTGTTGTAACATTTTTCTTTCAAAAATCTATGCTATATGAGAAGAACATTATGTCTTGTGTGTAGTGGGATATTTTGGTGACTCACATTTGGGTTCTTTCCCATTTTTTGGCTGCTACATAGCTTTTAATGTTTTCATTAACAAATGAATAAATTTACTTGGTATAAATGTCAATGACAGCTTAAAGAAAGGTCTAACTTCCCTCTTTTCTGTCCTTTGAAAAATGACTTTGCTTTTGTACCCAATGTGTATGGTATTTTGTACTATTGAATGAATGCTTATCAACTATTTTAAATCATGTAGACCAAACATAAAATTATATTGTTTTCATTGAGTCCACAGTAGCATTTGCAAAGACTATATGCTTTCTATACCTGAGCACCAATGCTGTGATCTTACTCCAATCAGTTCTCTCATACTTAATCTATTTAGTTATCAAAACTCAAACCATTTTTAAAAAAATGATATTTCTAAGTGGACGAGGAGTATTAAATTGGTTTCTCAGTTCTGGTCCCAGCCTTATTTATTATTTGTCTAAGCAAATCACTCTAAATTTCTGAGTCTTAGTTATTACACCCCAGATATTAATTGGGGGTAATACCACAAAATGCTACTATTGTAAATCTCTAATGAAAAAATATATAAAGTATATTAAAATCTGTAAAATGGATTTTGAATGCATTATTATTATTACTCATAGAAATTTAAAATAGCGTGGCCATTTATTCCAGTGAAGAGATCTACACAACTTAAAAACTCCCAGGAAACTCTGCTTATTTCTTTCCCAGTATTATAGTGACTTTTACAATCTTTTAGTATTTTTCAAGTGTAATTAAATGGAAACACACCTTGAACAGTCATGATCTTTCTAAAATGAGAGGCCTGTGAGAATGTTATTAACTTCTGTTATTTCAGACCCTGAGTTTTGAAACATTAAAACAGGCAATCCATAGCCCTTCTATATGAACCTAAGTTTTATAATAGGTAGTGACATACAAGTTTTTCTTTCTGGGACTCTGGTCATTAATATTAGGTGTCTTAAGGCCTTGGATAAGATGGCATGTTAGCATTCTCTTTTATTTTTGTATCTTGTTTTATACATATCTTAGAAAAAGTCAAATTTCTCTTTTTGTTCTGATACAGCTTCCATGAGGCAGTCTCAGTCAATACCTGCAGATATGCGGCCAGAAATTTGGATTGCACAAGAATTGCGACGTATTGGAGATGAGTTTAATGCTTATTATCCAAGAAGGGTAACTTAAATTTTCTTTATTCTTTTTGTCTAATGGTCTTGTTTCTTAAATATATACCCTTTTATTTCTTTATTTCCTCCTATGTATGTGTTCTATCACTGAATTTAAATTAATTAACAGAATATTTTAAATACATTTGGAGATGACAAGTTTTATGAACAATACTTTTAAAGTATTATTTAAAAAATTTACATCAGAATAGTTAGTTGTTTTTGTTGTTTTTGGTAAAAAATTTGCAGAAGGTTGCAGTGCCATAACTCTATGTAACTTTTGATGTTTTAAAATAATATAAGCCAAAATTAAGAGAATTTAAACTATTACAGTGTTAGTCAACTGAAAGGACTGATTATAAATAAAATTTCAAAATTTTAAATATACAGCCTTAGCTACTTTAACAATATGACCTTAGCTGTGTTGTATAATTATTTTTATACAGTTAAGATATGAAAATGGAAGATAACATTTTTAGCCCAGGTGCCATTTAGAAATATTACTTCTGTTATGCTAGTTTGATTGAAAATGAACTAGGCCAGTGACTTTATTGATTTTCTGTGATGTGATTTCCTTAAGTATTGTTAGTTTTTGTAGTACTTTCACAATTGATGAGAACAACCATGATTTTACTTAAGATATGGAATTCCATTTAAAAAAAAATTGTAGGTATTTAACTCAGACTCAACTTTGTGGGTTAAAACTTCCAATATGTACTTGAATTTTTTGTTGATATCATTTATAATTGTAACCAGTCATTTATAATCTTTTTTATAAGGATTATGTTTCTGTGAATAAAAATTGTGTCCTGTTTAATGATCTGTAAAATCAGATGGATAGAGTTGGAAGAAACCTTTGATTAGAGTTCATATAGTTTCTTTTTAGATCAAAAAGTTGGGCCTTAGATCAAGTGACTTACCGAAGGTCACATGGCTACTTAATGTTAGATTAGAAACTTAACTAGATTCCTAGTCTAGTAATATTCTTTAGTGGTAGTACTTTTAGTCAGCCTTTTTAGTTCCTAAAGCTAAATTTTATGTAGTATGAAGCAGGCAGGTATATTCTGTAGTGTCATCTAAGGAAAAATACACAGGCTTTGTAAAAATTAATTATTCTGTCATTTTTGTTCTTTGCTATGTTAAGATCTTAATTGGATTTCTGAAATATATTACTGATCTTTTTTAAGTAGCTTTCTCTGAAGAGTCATTTCAATTAGTACTTAGTGTGGCCCAATAGTTACATTTTAAAAATTTGAATGTTTTTGATTGTAAATAATTGTCATGGAGTAGATGCGTGTACTGTTGGTGTTTTATTTTCAAGTTTCAGTTTTTCTGTTCCTTTATTCACATTTTCCTATTAGTCTTAATTGTATCTTAGTTCTTTTACAGACTAATAGAAAAAGCTTTTTTTTACTTAGTGTTGTTTTTTATAATTTGTCTTCTATTATAGGCTCTTCTATAATGGATTTTTTTTATCCTATTTGTGTGAGGTCTAACTTTATTTGAGGGATTGTACGGAATGGTTCTTAATCTTTTTTTGCTGTGGACAGCTTTAGGGTGGGTATCAAGCCAATGACTCTCTTCTCTGAATAGTGTTTTTAAATGTGTACAGTAAAATGCAAAAGATTACAAAGGAATCCAAATATATTGAAATAGATTTATCAAAATTTTTTTTAAAGCTCCTAGTAAAAACCTTTAGATAAGAAAACATTTTTAATGTAGTTATTTCTAGGGTTAGGAGCTTGTCTTTGATAATATTCTTAGATAACAAGGCCTGGCAGAGAAAAGCAGAGGCAAACTCTTAGACTAAGATTTCTCTTCAGTTTGGATCTATAGTTGTAAAATTTTATTGGGTAGTTTAAAATTTTTGCTTTAGGTGTTAGTGTGCTACAGTAGTTCCTTGACTTTCTTCCTTGAAAATATTATTGCTGCACAGGGCCTCTCATTTATTAAAGGATCTTAGAACTGTTTATGGAGTACCCAAGAACAACAACATTTAAAAACCAATTGGAAAAGGACTATTACAGGGCTGTATATTGTCACCTTATTTATTTAACTTACGTACAGATTTCATTATGCTAAATGCCAGGCTAGACAAATCAAAAGCCATCATTAAGGTTGCCCGGAGAAATATCAACAATCTCAGATATGCAGACAATACTATTCTGATGGCAGAAGTGGCCATTAAGATGGCAGAAAGTGAAGAATTGAGAAGCTTCTTGATGTGGGTGAAGGAAGAGAGTGTAAAAGATGGCTTGAAGCTTAACCTAAAAAAAAAAAAGCCCTAAGATTTTGTCAACTGGACCCATCACTTCCTGGCAAAGAGGGAGAAGAAATGGAAGCAGTGTCAGATTTTATATTCTTGGGCTCAAAGACCACTGTAGGCAGCTTTTGTAGCCATGAAATTAAAAGACACTAGCTCCTTGGAAGGAAAGCTATGGCAAATCTGGATAACATACTAAAAAGCAGAGATATCACCTTCCTAACGAAGTTCCATGTAGCTAAAACTGTGGTTTTTGCAGTAGCAATGTATGGCTGTGAGAGTTGGACTATAAGGAAAGCTGAGTGCCACAGAATCAGTGCTTTCACATTGTGGTTCTAGAGAAGACATTTGAGGGTCCTTTGGCGAGCGAGATCAAATCAGTCAATATTTAAAGAAATTAATTCAGATTATTTACTGAAATGTCTGATCCTGAAGCTGAAGCTTAAATCCTTTGGCCACATAATAAGAAGACATGACTTGGTGGAAAAGACCCAGATGTTGGGAAAGATTGAAGGCAAAAGGAAAATGGGACAGCAGAATATGAGACGGACAGTGTCATGGAAACAACAAATAGAAACTTGGACAGACTTTGGTAGATGGTGGAGAATGATAGAAGGGTCTAGAATGCTATGGTCCATGGGGTCACCAGGAGTCCTACACTACTAAACAACAACAAATTATTAAGTAATTTAAACTTCAAATATGATTCATATTTAAGTGAAATGTGACTTTTTTTATATGAAAGACCTGTCACACACACGTCTCCCAGAAATTGTCACACTAGTTTATGGAATCAAACAATTTCAGTAGCCAAAAGGAGTAGATATGAGTAACACTGCCTTATTACAGATCTTTCTTCTTGACTTATTCTACATTCTGGCTAAATTGTCTTCTTTATTATTTCTCATTAAGAACACTTTTCTACTGGGCTTCCCCATACCTGGAATGTATTCCCTCTTCTCCATCTCTCAGTGGCCGTAGTTTTCCTTGAGTTCCAACCACACTGCCACCTGCCAAGTTAGTGACACTTTTCCTTATCTCCCTAACTCTTAGTGCCCTGTGCCTTCCCTAGATTTTACTTTTGTTTTTGAATTGCCCATGCCTAGTAAATAGTAAGCATTTAATAAATGTTTGTTGATTGATCATTTAGAATATAACCATACCATTTTGAGTATTTTTCTTTTGGTTTAAAAAACCTCCTATTCTAATGGGAATGAAGAAAAAAGTTTAATGTTTTGTTGATATGAACAGTAAATGAAAAGCAGCCATAATAATGTAAAATTTCAGATACGGCGTAAGGCTAAGGGGTAGGAGATTTTAAAATGTTAACTGAATTAGATCCTTTTTTGAGACTTTGAAAGGACCTAGGTTAAGGTCATGTAGGTGCTTGTTTGTCGGAGATCATCTACTCAAACTTGGAGTAGGATTGGGGAGAGGCAGGATTCAGGAGGAACAATCAGGAGGTTAAGGAAGTTCAAGAGGTGGGGATGAGGACCAAAGTTGAAGTGGTGTGGTGGTTCTAAGAGTCAAAAAAAGATGACATACCCATTAAATGTAGAGGTGGCATTGATGAGAATTGGCAACTCATTGGGACATTAAGAAAACTTCCCTTCTTGGGCCTCAGTGAGTTAGGCCCAGAGACAAGGTTGTACATATAATAGAGTCAGAATAATATCCCAGGTCCTGAGGCCAAGTCCAGTGCACTTTCTTTTGCCCTACCTGTCTTGGAATAGCATGACTTGGCTTCTCTTCTCTTGGACTATAACTGAAGTCTTTCAGTCTATATTATTCTTAAATAAAGTTATTAGTATCAATGTGTGCATCATAGTCTAGAACTAATTTTCAACTCTTATGTTTAATTCTCTTAACATATGCTCCATCTGGGTGTACCCGAATGTGGGCCCAGATTTGTGCATTGGTGTGTGTTTAAATGGCTGATTGGGCACTCAGCTAAGTGCAGCTGTGTTTGTTCAGACCAAATGTGAATTCTCAGTTCAGACCTCGTGCAGGTGGTACACCTGCAGTGTTACTCATCCAGACACATGTCCATATGCACATTCAAGTATGTAAGCATTTCAGAAACATAAATGCATACATTTGATTGACAGTCAGTTCTAGTCTTTTTTTCTTTCTTGGGTTTTACTTCTTAGGGAGGAAATGGGCATATATCTGAGATGAGGCTTAGCATACAAAATAAATTTTCTTACAGCATCGTTAGAATGCTAGCTAACTGAACCCCAGAACAAAGTGACTTTGGGGTTGTGGTTAATTTACATTACATTTTCGGTGAGCATTTATCTGAGTTTGAGGTCTCAGAACAGTGTGTTCTTGCCCTAAGACTAAATTTCATCTAATTTTGCCTGAGAGAGGAAATTAAGGCAAAGCATGGTTTCACAGGATTCCTTCAAATAGTGAAACTTGCCTGGTGAATTAGAAAGTTTATTTTACATACATTTCATTTATATGTAGTTTTCAGGAATATAGTTTATTTTTAATAAAGCAAAGTATACCTTAATATGCAAACTAATGGCATTCAACTGTTACTTGCTTTTGGATTAGAAATGTCATTTATAAGTTCCATGAAACAGGGACCATTTTATCCTTTTAATATTTACACTTACCTATATTAGGCACTTGATTTGTGTTTCTTTTTGTTCATCAGTGTTGTGCTATGACTATTTTAACTCTACTCTTAAAATGATCTTATAATAATTTTACAAGGCTAAAATTAGTGGTGTGTTTTGTGT